AGTCATTCAATGGTTTTTCACAACTGTCTTCTCAGAAATCTGGTTTCAGCCATTGATAGCTTCCATTTTCTGCCCCGTCCACGTAGTGTAACAACTGTTCCTTCAACATGGAACTTGCAAACTATGCTTCCAACAGGGTTTCTATGAATATTCAGTGTCTTCGCTATCTTTTATATCCTATTCCTTCTTTGAGAAGGGCGATAATCTCTTCTCTTAACTTTGTGGACCATTCTTTTGACTAAGCCATATTTCATGCAGTCAAATGTGACACTCAACAAACCCCTAGCCAGTTCAGGTATTTCAATTGTTCCATCTCAAGCACACCTTGTGCAACTAAGGAAGCTCTTGATTAGTTGAATCAGGTGTGCTTGCTTGAGACAGCACCTCTTTTGCATACTTGTACTGTTGTGAGGGATTCTATTAAGGAGGTTGAATAATTTTGAGGCTGGAAAAGTCATTATGAGTTGGATTTTCAGTTGAATGTGCGAAAACCACTTAAATCATTCATTTTATTGAGCTATTTTTTGTAAATTTATTTGTAAATTTATTTGTAAACTTATTTTTTATTGGTGCATCACGAGGAGACCATGTCCAATATGTGTGTATATATATATATATATATATATATATATATATATTTAACATATCTCACCAAAATGTAAGGGTGAGACATAGCATTATACACAGTGTTTATTAGGTTCACAGAGTTACTTTCCTGTCAGTAATAGTAGTTAGGACATGTGATGAATTTGGGCGCCCTGATTTTCTGTTGAACTGGGGGGCAAGGAGGATGTCTAACCAGTAAGTATTAAATTCAAAAGAGATGTGTTAAGCTACAACCCCAAATAAAGAAAAAAGGATGAGGGGTGGAAGGTGGGGGGGGGGAGTATCTGCATTAGGGTACTATATATCGTGTTTGTAAGAGCAATTTCAAGCTCTGTTTAAAAATACATTCTATAAGTTTTTGGCGTTCATGGTCAGGTCATGCTAAGTGGACACCTTTTTGCCAAAATAAGTTTCTCGTTTGGTATTTTCTAGTCGCCCTTCGAATTTGCTTGTTTGTATGATATGCGCTACCAGTTCTGATTGGTTTGGAGAAGTGGGAGATAGCCATATGCGTGCTAGTAACATAAGTGCAGCCACTATAATATGGAATATCAGGTATGAGGTGTGTCTGGTGCTTATGTCCAGTAAGATTAAAAGGAGGCAGCACTCTGGGGAGTTTGGCAATCTTATGTCAGTGCATTTTTCGATTAACAAAAGGGTCTGTTCCCAGTATTTGTCACTATTACTATATGACCCAACATGCAGAATTATGTAACACACAATGAACAAGGACAACGTATACCGGGCCTTAGAATGGCCGGATTTAACATAAATAAGAATGGTCAAAATACTAGCCAAGGTCAGGGGCACAGAAAGAGACACAACGAGGAAGCAAGCCAAAAATCAAGGATACCAGAATACGGGAAGGTCAAAATATAAGCCAAAGTCAAAATACCAAAAGAAATAGACCAAGAACGCACTCTCTGACAACTAGTGGAAACCACGACAGGGCACTGAATAAAATGCTATTTTGGGTTTAAATATCCCTCTTGAGACTGTAATTGGCTGTATCTGACCTCTGACTCCAAAACATGTGTGCGCGTGTATGACGTGATGTCGCACCCACGTTGGCGCCATCTTTGTTGTGGGCGAAAGTACGTTTACTATTTAACCCCTTAAGGACACATGACATGTGTGACATGTCATGATTCCCTTTTTTTCCAGAAGTTTGGTCCTTAAGGGGTTAAACTGGAACCGCAGCGGCCGGCATTTCTAAGAACGCCGCACTTGCTGGGGACCGGAATGGAAGGAGATTGGGCACCGATCTGCCGCAACCCAGGTAAGTATAAAACATTTCTGTTGGCATGGTTGCATAGGTTATGTGTGGCTACGCCGACGAGAGAGCCAGGAGCTGTGACAGTATTGGGCCAAGTTAGGGTATCGGCACCAGATGTGTAGCATGGTACCACGGTCAGCCCTGCATCTGTAACAGGTTTCCGAGTATGAGGGGGAAATTCTGGCTAGTCTCGACAGCACCATGTACCATCTGTACATCATTTTTTTTACATTTCTCTATGAGCTGCATTCAGGCTATTGTCTTTGTGGGCTAGGAATGCTTTAGTCCACTGAGCCTCCATTATTTTGTGGCCTATCTCTTCCTCCCATACCTTAAGGCAGGGAAGGTAAGATGGAGAAAGTGGGGCTTGCAAAAGCTTATAGGTTATGGATATAAATTTTTTCAGTGTAACTGTACTGCAGCAGGGTTGTTCAAATAGGAAGAGTGCCTGTTTACATTGCAGGCTGCGTGGGTGCTCTCTTAAGTCGAGCTTCGACAACCAGCTCTGTAATTGGGTGTATGAAAAGCCATGTTTGATAATGTGTGGGTGTCACATAAAACCTGAATGGGAATCAGCTTATTGTGGTTACATATTTGGTGCAGGTAGTAAACTCCTGCACGCCCCCCAGAGTTTAAAATTAAAATCTGAAATAAAATGTGTTACCAGTCGGATAGGTATGGCCAAGGATATCAATAAGTAGTGGCATAAATCATTTCTATGGTTGTCCCATATCTGTATTATGGTCGTTGTAGTAGGGAGACTTTGTGACAGAGATGATCGGGATGATTTTGGCAAACAGAACATTTTGGCCATGCTTAGGTCTGCCCAATATTCCACCATATACACCCATTGTGGGGGTTCTGGGCCAGCTAAGGCCACAGCAGCGTTATATCACATGTTCACCTTGTGGTATCTGCAATGGTTACTACGTTCCTGGCATTGACAAAGATGCTAATCAGCAGCCCTGTGCCGGTGTATCTGATTAATGCGGCATGTTGACGCCGGCTGCTGCGGATCCATACCTATTTGTAACCCCACATCCACCCACGGTATTGACAATGTCAATGGGCGTGTGATGTCACACAAAGGACGCGCACGCATGTTCTAGGATCAAAGGCCGGGCACGGCCAATCGGATCTAAAGGAGACTTATTTAAACTCCTTTTTACTTTTCCTCATTGCCCTGTCGTGGTTTCCCTTAGTAGGTTATCCGAGAGTGTGTTCCTGAGCGTTTATTTCTGGTTATTGACTTTGGTTTCTGTTTGACTTCCCTGTATTCTGGTAACCTTGACTCTTGGCTTTCCCTCATCGTTGTGCCTCATTCTGTGTCCCCGACCTCGGCAAGTATTCTGACTATTCTCTGGTACGTTAAGTCCGGCCATTCTAAGGCCTGGTAAGACGTTACTGTTAGTCCTAGGTTTAATACAGTTCTGCGTGCTGGATCAACTAGTATCCTGACCGGTTACTCAGGATTGCTGCTCAATAATATTGCCTAATGTTCGTCAGTCCCATGCCACCTTCATTGAGAGGTGCTTGTAGTAATGTTACGTTCACCCTGGGTCGCCTCCCACCCCAGACAAACCTATTGATCGCTTTTGCACTGTGATGGAAAAGGATCTGGGGATCTTTAGTGGCAGGGTTCCAAAGACATATTGTTGCTTAGGTAAGATAGACATTTTTACTGTAGCAATTCTGCCTGTCACGATATCACAAGGTCTGTTATCGATTTTAAGATGGCTGTGTAGTTTAGATGATACAGTCAGGTCAGGTCCTTCGGAAAATCTATCCCTAGGAAAATGAGTGAGTTGCTTCTCCAGTCGTATGGATAGTTCGACTTAAGGTGTGTCTCCTGCTGTTGTGGCAGGTGTACCGTCATGGCCTGGGTCTTTGAGACATTTGCTATAGGCCGTCAGTAGTTCATGGAATACTGGTAGCAAAGTGTGGGGCTGTGTTATAGTGACTAGGACGTCGTCCTCAAACATGTTGAGTTTATACTGCTTTGTCCCTACACAGATTACTTTTATATCTTGATTGTGCCTGATCAACTATGAAAAAAGTTCAAGGGCCAGTATGTAAAGGGAGACGGGGGCATCCCTGCCTGGTCCCATTAGTTATAGGAAATGGGTCTGACAGGAACCTCTGTTAAAAACTCTGGCTGAGGGCTGCTGGTAAGCTGCTAGAAACGTAGGGAGAAAATTATATTTGTAAACGACCCCTCTCAGGAATCCCCAGTGTAGGCGATTAAACGCTTGTTCTGCGTCAAGGGAAAGGAGCACGCTGCCTTGATTTTGTTTGTGTATAGTGTAAAGTAAGTTTAGTACTTTATGTGTTCCCTATGTGCCTTGTTGTCCGCTAATGAAGCCAACCCTGTCGGAGTGGATTAGGTGGGGGAGTATATCTTTAAGTCTGTTTTTACGAACAGCTTGGCAAAGATTTTGGGGTCCACATTCACAAGGAAAATGGGATGAAAGTTAGGGCATTTGGTGGGCGGTTTTCCAGGTTTAGGAAGGGTTGCTGTATTGGCTGCGAGCAGATCTCCTGGTTAGGTTTCTAGGGTTAAGGCAGAATGGAAAAAGGCAGCCATGTGTGGGGCCAGGTTGTGGGAGAAGCATTTGTAGTAGTAGTTAGTATAAATGTCAGGGCCAGGAGCCTTACACCTAGGAAATTGTTTCATAATGTTCTCAATTTCTTTGATCATTTCAGGGGCGTTAAGTGAGTCAAATTGTGGTTGGGACAATTTTGGTAAAGATACTTTGTTGAGAAAGAGATCTATGTCATGGCTGGGGTATTAAGGAATCCTTTTTAGGATTGTATAGCTTGCTATAAAAATTTTCAAATTCGTTACAGATGTCTTGAGGTCGGAGTATTTTTTTGTCCTGAATCAGTTAGGATGTAGGGAATCTTAGTGGAGGATCTCTATCTCTAAGAATGTCGGACAGAATCTTTAAAAAAATACTGTTATCATTAGGAGGTTTGTTCATTAAATTTGAATTGTACTCTTAATAGTTGATAACATGAGAATTATGCTGATTGTTATTTAAATCAATTATTTAGGTAAATGAGAAAAATATAATTTGCATAATAATTTGGAACAGGGTGTAGTAAATAAGGCCAATGTCTATTCTGGAGTGGGAGGCATGTACCGCTGAGTAGTGGGAGTATTGTCTGTCTGAGGGGTGATAGGTCCTCCATCGTGGAGAACTTGGCAGACTGCCTTCACTCTCCTTTTTCTGGGTGCCCCAATTGGAGCAGATGAGTCTAGCAATGGGTCCAATATGCGGTTGAAGTCGCCACATATCACGTAACGTGTTGTAAGAAGCTGCGTTGTCTCAAATTTGGAACATAGATGTTGACTAGTGTGTAAAACTTGTCGTTTAGTAAGCATACTAGTATATCCTTGTGGGTCGGTTAGTTTTAGGAGCAACTCAAAAGCCACCGATTTATGTATTAATATGGATACCCCTCTCACTTTAGTGATGTAGGCTGCATGTTGTTGGATCGTATAGTGGGCCATACCAAATGAAGACAGTTGTGCTTTGGTAAAGTGTGTTTCTTGCAAAAACACTATATCCGCCTGTGCTTGCTTTGCTTCCTTAAGAAACATATGTCTTTTGTGAGGTGTATTAAGACCTCGGACATTACGTGAGTATACTCTCATATAGTGGAGTGTAAGTAAATGCTGAATTTCTGATGTTAACTTCAATGTAGAAGCAAGCTAGTTTATTTTTGGTAGGAACTCTCTATTTGAGAAAATGGGGTAGCTGGGTTAATATTATACAGTCCGCCAATGCATAGCAGTAGGATGCACTGCAAGGGCGAAAAAGTGCCTAGTGGCAAAAGTGTAAATAAACCTGTGAATCTGTGTGGAGGGACCCCGCACCTCTGTGAAGCAGAGATATTGTGACCTATGTGATCTCTCAGTTGTAGTTTATATGGGATGGTCCTTATGTGACACTGATATGATGCTGTTGTTGGGTGGGCGGCATACATTTGTTGCATAGTATCTGCCATGGAGTTATGGGCTTCCACGTACTCGCCCATCTTTTCTTCTATGTGCGAGGTTCTAGTGCCCAAGTCTTGGATATCTTTACGTAGGGTGTCCATGCCAGATGGCCAGGTGGTTATAAGTTTGGCTGATTAGGAATCCAGAGAGGATTGGAACTAGCTGCGTGTTAGTGGATCTACTTCTGTAGCAGATTCTGGTTCACTTGTAGGGCTTGAGGCTGCAGGCCTGTCTGCGCCATCTTGGATTTCCTACAGAGTGGTTGTTTTTGCCGATTTGTTAATGAAAAAAGTTCAATTTTTCAGCCCGGTCTTGCTGGCATTTAGATATGCTCTGTGACATTGTGGAGCAGTGAAACTGGCGGGTAGATTTAGCAGTCAGATAGCTGATATTCTGGGTCCTGTGTCATGGAGCTCTTACAGATCAGGTCATGCCCCTGTATTGAGCTAATATTGTTAGATTATTTTCATTGCAAACAGCAAAATTGTAAATTTTCAATGGGAGTTAAATAATTTTGATTACAACTTATTCTAAGTGAATTTTGATATTAATAAATATATTCATTCTTAGTGTGCATTTATAATTTTATTTTCAGAAATCATTTAGTTTCTTTTTTTTTTTTAAATATTTCTTGGGGGATCTACCTGACAACCCAGGCAGACCCCCTGCAGGCAGTGATTTAAACTGAACTGGTCTAGTGTTATGATATCATAGCAATCACCTGGCCTAAAAGCGCCAAAATGGCTTCAGGGGGACAGCTTGGGTTGATAGACAGGCCCTCGGATTGGGATTTCTGCTGAAGGTAAGTATTACAGATCCCGGCAGGGCAAGACCTTAATTGGCCCTGTTTTAAATTAACCTTATTATATTCTCCTGGCTTTCAATCAGGCAACTGGTCCTGTTACTTTCTAGTTTGTTTAGCGCAGTGGAACTAAACTCAAGAGGCAGGCAACTGCTCTGAGCACTTACCTTGCAAAGACTTCTCATCGAGCTGCATTGTGATTGGATTGGACAGCCACAGAAACACTGGGCAGGGTTAGAAGGGGAGGACTTGAAAAGGCTGAAGACAAGAAATCTCTAGGTTTGTATTTGTAGTTTGGTAGCGAAATGTCCCTTTAACCCCTTAAGGACACATGACATGTGTGACATGTCATTATTCCCTTTTATTCCAGAAGTTTGGTCCTTAAGGGGTTAAAATGCCACATGCATTTTTCCAGAAACCCAAGTAAACTGTGATGAGAATAATAATGTTAAAGGGAAACTATAGTGCCAGGAAAACAAACTAGTTTTCCTGGCACTATAGCTTCCGCTTCTGTAAAGGCCCCCTCCCGCGGCACTAAAGGTGTTAATAACCCCTTCAGTCACTTACTTGGGTCCAGCACCGATGTATCTCGCCGCTGGCTCAGCTCCGCCCACACTCCTCCCCCACCGCCGGCTGCTGGCCGGGGAGACCTAACGCGCATGTGCGGCAAAGGCCGCGTGCGCATTAGACCTCCCCATAGGAAAGCATTATTTAATGCTCTCCTATGGGGATTCTAGTGACACTTGACATCGTCATGCAGAGGGTGGGGACGTCAAACCTCATTTGATTGCAAATTCCTGTCCTATTGTTTTTTATACCCCACCTCGTATAGAATGTAAGCTCATTTGAGCAGGGTCCTCTTCAACCTATTGTTCCTGTAAGTTTTTGTAATTGTCCTATTTGTAGTTAAATCCCCCCTCTCATAATATTGTAAAGCGCTACGGAATCTGTTGGCGCTATATAAATGGCAATAATAATAATAATAATAATATTAATAATAATATTATGTAGTATTCTTTCTCTTACCAATGGATAACATGACTGTACCAACTACATTCCTAACTTTACTTTCTTTAAAAAAAAAAAAAAGTCTAAGCTCAGCTTGTTCAATTAACCATCGCTGTGTTTGAATAATTGTTGACTGTGGCAAACCTTGCCACTTTTAGATTAAATGGCTGTATCTGCAAAGGTTGTCTGTATAAGCCGCTGGACTGTTGTATTCTAATGTATACCTGTACTGTTATATCATAAAGCATTCGTATGCTAGCAGCTGAAAGCCGCTAGCATTCATGTGTTCGTTTCACGAACAGGGACTTTACCTGCTATTCGTGAAACGAATGAAATACCAAACAGGAGTACACACACAGAGGGTCGTGTGGCGCCCATTAACCGATTGCAACATTGTTGCAATCGGCAGTTAATTGCGTTCCTAGGTGGCCGTCGTTCGGCTACCGACCATGCAGCGGGTGGCCATCTTGGATCCTTTGTCCACCCAGCGGTGTTTGGTCGTTGAGCGCGTGGAACTAAAATCGGCTACTCGACGGCACGAACACCGCTGGGCTTCCAGGCCGTTCTGGAGCTCCGGTCTTTCAATATTGTGGTTCCCCATTGGTGTTCGGTACTTTCAGGCGAACATGATGTTAAAGTGGATTTCGTGCGGCATTCGGTTATTAATGCTGGGATCTGAGCAGTATTCTCACGAAATGTACGCTCAGACCCCAGCTATCTACCGAACGTCTATTCATTTAAATAAAGTGAATGATGTAAAAGTTATGTATTTTAATGTGAAATGTTGGTTCTGCTGCACGGAGGGATAATCCACTTAACGGTATATTCTAGTGGGAGTATCCCTCTCGTACAGCAGTGCCTGATGGAAGAAATGTCCAGATTGTTAAATCCCCCATGTAGTCCCCTACTGTATAACCCCTGCAATGTCAGTAGGGAAACCCCTTGCATGGGGACTTGCATAAATACTGTGACTTGTGAATAAAAGCTCAGTTGACTCCCAGAACTGTGTTTTGTCCAGTTACTGGGGGATTTGGGATATTGCCTTACTTTTCAGCGCTTTACTTTGGATTACCTTCTGTACCAGCGGAGATCTTGGAATTTAATATTGCAGCTCCGCTACATTTACATGCCACTGTAATATGAATACCTTACTCTTCTTTCTTAGAATTGTTTGTTGACGTCAAAAGTAGTGCTTATGTTGGACTATAATTAACTATATAACTCTTCTTGCAATATGCTTGACTAGAATTGCTTATTGTCTAAGATTATGACAGCTGTGAAATGATTGTCTTTTCATATCTATTCATTTTGTGTAGAGTATCTATTTATCCTATATCATGTATGCTTCTGACATGCATTCCTTTGCAACAAAAAAAAGGAAAAAACACATTGACCTGTTTATCAATGTATCTGACACTGATTTCAATATTGGTCTCAATTACTTGCTCAAAATGGATATAATCCAACCTTCCTTATTTAGTTTGTGAGCATAGGTCACAAGGAAGGTGTAGATAGAGCTAAGACATTTAACCTAACAATTATGCAAAGCCACAATGACTTTTTCTTCATTTGTTCATTTCGTAACAATCCAATGTACACAGGGACTAGCCCAAGTAAATACATTGCATCAAAAAACGAGAATGTGAGAACTCTGGGATTGGGCAAAAGCTCAGAGAAACATTCATATCTTGCCCCTCGGATAGTCTACGCTCTGGACTCAAAAATGTTTTTGCTCACTTGCGCCCAGTTGCGTTGCTAGGGGGGCCAGAGAGGACCATGCCCCCCCCATATCATGCTGTACACCCCCTTGGGCCCTCCAAATGCTGGCAACCTTCTGGCCATGTTGTTAAATTATATTCCCAGTAACAGTGTGTTACAGCCCGGACAGTGTTACAGTGTGTGTGTGTGTGTATGGACTCAGCAGTCTGTGTCTGTGTATGAACTCAGCAGTATGTGTGTGTGTATGTGTGTGTATGGACTCAGCAGTGTGTGTGTGTGTATGGACTCAGCAATCTGTGTGTGTGTATGGATTCAGCAGTCTGTGTGTGTGTGTATGGACTCAGCAGTCTGTATGCCTGTGTATGTGTATGGACTCAGCAGTCTGTGTGTGTGTATGGACACAGCAGTTTGTGTGTGAATGTATGTACTCAGCAGTCTGGGTCTGTATGTGTATGGACTCAGCAGTCTGTGTGTGTGTACAGACTCAGCAGTCTGTGTGTGTGTATGGACTCAGCAGTCTGGGTCTGTATGTGTATGGACTCAGCAGTCTGTGTGTGTGTACAGACTCAGCAGTCTGTGTGTGTGTATGGACTCAGCAGTCTGTGTCTGTGTGTGTATGGACTCAGCAGTCTGTGTCTGTGTGTGTATGGACTCAGCAGTCTGTGTGTATGGACACAGCAGTTTGTGTGTGAATGTATGTACTCAGCAGTCTGGGTCTGTATGTGTATGGACTCAGCAGTCTGTGTGTGTGTACAGACTCAGCAGTCTGTGTGTGTGTAAGGACTCAGCAGTGTATGTGTGTGTATGGACTCAGCAGTGTGTGTGTGTGTGTATGTACTCAGCAATCTGTGTGTGTGTATGGATTCAGCAGTCTGTGTGTGTGTGTATGGACTCAGCAGTCTGTATGCCTGTGTATGTGTATGGACTCAGCAGTCTGTGTGTGTGTATGGACACAGCAGTTTGTGTGTGAATGTATGTACTC